AAGCAAGAGAAGCCGCACTTAATCAACGACAGGCTATTTTTCTTCCTTTTTCTCGAAAACAGTACTCTAATTATGAGATCACAATCTTACAAAAATGTTTAGCAGACGTATCTAAGTTCACACACTGGCATGCTGTCGAGCGACTGTTCAGTACCTTCAAGCGATTAGAAGTTAAAAAATAAAAAAGAATATCACCGTCTAAAAGAAAAAAAAAGCAGCAGCAATTTCGAGGCCTGCCAAATATAGGCCGCCGGCCATACCGATGTAGGCCACGCACGTGTAAACGAATCTGGAAGCATGTCACTTATGACGTCGCAAACGTAGGTGCATGAAGGAATCTGGCAACGATCACGTGCTGTTTGACGTCACAGGTTCAACAAGAGAGGCACGTACGTTCAAGAGCCCAGGCATTCGCTCGAGGTTAAACTTTAATGTGACATTCTTCTCTTCTGTACTGAATCTTGTCAACTGAGGCGATTACAGGGTATTTGTTGATTTTGTGTCGTCCGGACACATGAAATTTTAATGATATCTTGTTTTAGAAACTACACTTTGCCGCATGCTTTCTTTTTTAACTGTTCAGAATAGAGTGCTGGTTTAGTACAGTAAACCAGGAAAAGTGAATGAATATTTTACTCAAATTAGAACACGAATATTTTACTCAAATTAGAACACTTCATGAATATTTATGCCTTACAGGCCTAAATTATTCTAAAAATGTCATATACATATATATATATATATGTGTGTGTGTGTCTAGAGAGAGAGAGAATTTTTTTTATAGCAATTAAGAAAAAAATGTCAAACTGGGGAGGGGGTAGAGTGATATAAGAAAACTTATTGTGGATTATGTTATTAACAACATTTTAATCTCCCCGACCTTTCTTCAGAATTCTTTTCGCGTTTAGAAAGCTACATATCAAAGGTTATTTTTATGTAAAATCACCTGATATTTACAGCAAAGCTGATATTTACAGCAAAAGTAAAAATGTATCGAAAATAATTATAAAAATGATTAGTAAAATGCATGGTCTGCGAGATTCAAGAACTCACTGAACTGTTTCTAAATAATGTTTGAATTTATTGCTATTGGCTGCTATTCGGCATGCACAATTCGGTTAACTAAGCACAAAGTATTAGATTGGCAGATGCACATTGTTACAAACATAACTCTTCATTCTTGACATTAGTAAACAGCATTAACTAAGAAGTAAACAGCACTAACTTAAAATTCGTTTTGTATAGGCGGAGATCTACAAATTTAAGGATAATGTTTTAAATTAGCAACAAGAATCGCGCAGTTGCTAATTTAAGAGTTGGAAGTTACTGTGAATTCTTTCCTTGTAACTGCCTCTTTAAGAAGCCCATTCCAAAACGCCAGAAATGACCAGTATTTCTCAGAACTGATGTAAAGATTTGAACATCACCTTTCTTAGAAGTGCAATTCCGCAGAAGACCCAAATCCTTTAGAACCGTGAATGGTCGTCTTATAGAGTGTTTACTGCATTTTTCATGCACATGAAACGTTAAAATAAACTATCAATCATTTTTAATACGACTGTCTGCAGTAACAATTCGTTGCGGCAAATATTGGATCTGATAATGTGTATCAATTATGATTTGGGTTATAATAATTTACCAGTTTAGTACGATTTGGAGAATAAGGGTCGCTTTTTTTCGGAGATAGAATTTAACGATTGCCAGCTAGTGGTTAATTGTAAATATTTCACATGAATTCAGTCTTCATAGATGCAAGATGCTTGTAGCTTGATCATAAAATATTGCGAAAATTTAGATAACTACTACTCCTGTGATAGATTTATAAAGATCTGATTAAATAAGTTTTGAAATTTTATTACGCTCAGGATCATAATAGATAATGTACTCGGCTGTAAACCGCTCAAAGAGAAAGCAGAAGTAAAACGAAATTTTTCTTAACACCGAAGGAACGTCGCAAATCGCTACAATCGTTCACACAGCAAAATTTAAAACAGTAATCGCAAAGAATTAAGCTCAGTAGTAAAACTGTCTAATTCAACTTCAACTGATTAAGTCTAAATTCAACTTCAGCTGCCCACAGTTATATATATATATACATATATTCATGTTATAACTCTGATGGCGTTATTCTCAAGGACAGGCGGTCAAGTATGCAGTGCTACTTTTCAAGTTCGGAATTTAAGTCATTCGATAGTGATGAGAATGTCTCTGCATTCTTTCGAATTTAAACCCTGATTCTATCATATGTTTCCGAAAACAATGTAGGAAGCACTACGGGGTATTTATTTCTGAACAGTACACCAAAGATACAGTGCGACATTTATGATTTAAGCTTTACTGACGGTTAACTTAATGTTAATTTTTTTCCTCTCTGCCTTGGCTCGTTACGTTACTCACCGAAATCAGAGGTTTATGCGCATATAAGACAAGCGGATTGGTTAAAATTAGAATGCGATCTAGACCGGCAGCTCAGTGGATTGTTGCCCCGTTGGACTGTCTCCTTGTTGAAAGAGAAAGCGTTAGAAACGGGTAAAGAATCGCTGAGTTTGATAAGTGTTAAAAAGTTAGATGGTTTTCCGGTCTAACTTAAAAGGTGTAACTCCGAATCTCCTTTGTTATGTAATTCCGACATAACTCTAGCTTAGCAGCAAGACACTGTAGTTGATAATCAGCATTTATTTTATTACTACTTTTAGTTAGATTGCCTAAGTACTGCCTGATAAAGTTCTGTGTGAGATTTGAATTTGAATTTTTGTGAATTCATTATAAAGCATTAACAAAGACAAAAACTCGGAAAATGTATAAACTATTACAGACAGATAACTTAGGTAGCTCATCACCTTAGAAATTATAACATTACCGTAATAAAATACAGCAAAATTTAACTGAAGTAGTGATGAAATAGAATAGTATATTATATACAAAAATAATAAGGCATGAAATAAAACTACAGTGAACATCCTCATGACGAACAGACATTTATAAATCGATCAGACATTTATGACCAAACATTTTTGAAGAACCCGCTTTTTTATAAATATAACGTTATCTATTTTTCTTTATTACGCCATTGCTGCATTTATTAAAAAATATCCGCTTGATATTTTTTGTACTATAAGACTGATTTGAACAAAACAGAATATATCTAAAGGTGGAATATGTCTTTCGAGAAGAAATTTTAGGGAGTGTTATATAAAGAAAAATATTAAAAGCTGTCTGTTTCGAGAAATGCCTTCGTGGAGAACGTACCAGAGAAAAAAGATAAAAATAACTTTAAGTATGAGGAAAACTATGAACAAATCAATTATGCCTTATTAGAGTTCCAAGGTACGGAATGTTTGTTACTAGCCGGACGTGTTTTTACCGCATAGGGCACACATGGGTAATAATTCCTCTGTTCTCCCCTAAGTTAAAAGGCAGTTGGGAAAGACGAATTAGTCAGACAAATCAAAATGGTGATGAATTACTATTACGTAAAAATACTTTTAATTAATTAATTAAAATAATTAAATCTAGAAGTTTAAGACTAAGCAGACAATGCGAATAAAAATAAACCATGGACCTAAAATAATTCCATCCATGCTGTTAATCATCTGAATCGATACTGAGAGGCATAATATGTAAATAATTAGGACTTCTTCTGACATAGAAAAGAACGTAGATGATACCATGCTAAATGAGAAAATTTTACTCCATTTTTCAGCGATTTCAATTTTAAATAAATTATAATTTATAAATATATAGCCATAATTTTTAAATTTTAAATAATTACAACAGAACTCGTGTTTGTCTGATTTCTGTTAAAAAATTCGCATCTTAATTAATGAAAAAATAGGGAAGATACACAAAAAATTAAGGGAAAAGTTAAGAAGCTTGACTTAATTATTTCTCAAGAGTCACGTCAATAAAAATTTCAAAGGCTCAAGAAACGTGCACAAGTTGATTTCCTCAGATTGCTTTATTTAAATTTTTTCATTGATATTTTGCTACGTAGAGTGTTTTTCTTTTTTTTAGATTCTAGAAAATTTATATGAAAAATATAACTAACTCTTACATTTTGCTGAGATTGAAAGAAAAGTAAATACAAAATTCGAAAGCTTTCAAAAGGTATAATTTGGTTTTAGAAACAAATTCATTCGGTGTCGAGTTTTTGTGCGTCAAAATATCCAAAACATAATTTAGAAATATTTTCATTCAGCTACCGTAATGGAAATGTTTTTTTATAAAATTACCTTTTAGATATATTTAACTTATGCCAATTAGACGGCTATTAAAATAAAACAAATGTATAAATTATTACGGAGTACGTAGTTGCTTCGAAATTTCCAAGTCTGTTAAGGAACGTTAAACTTTAATTTGGAAAATAAAAACATTATATTTATATTATATTGCTTGGAATGATAGCATTTTTTAAAGCTAACAGATTTTATGGATAATAAATTCAATATCTTATGCAGCCTCGAATGGCACAACTTTGGTAAATTGTTTTTTACGTGGCTAATGAATGCTCCGGTAACATAATTAAATGTAATTTAAAGCGAAAAATTGAAATATTAAATATAGATGCTAGAATTAAAATATTTATTTTTTAACTATGAATACTAATAAAGACTGTTTCACATTTATTCGAACGCAGTACTTCTTTCGTAAAAAGAAATATGCAAATTTACATTCCAAACAGGTGTATTTTCTTCGTTTTGTATTTTCTTCTCAAAGTAGACGCTTTGAGCTTCTAAATATAGAGATTTTGTTACAACTAATTATTGCTACTTTATGGTGACTCACAAGATAATATTGTGTATACTTAGAAAAGTCGCTAATGAAAATTTGTAGCTTTTGTAAATTAGTTAGATATATTTCTCAAATATTTAGAAAACTAAATATATACAGTTAGAGACTTTTTTAAAATAACGATAGTAAAAAGAGACTTATAAAAACATCCCAGACACGAAAATGAAATTTAATACTTTAATGGCATATCATATAGCAAGAAGCAAGCATAGGTTATTATACCATCGTACTTAACACATTTAAAAATCTTATTTAACCATTGTTTAATACACTGCACATGGCAGAAAGACTTTCATTATATCACAACTGTTGCATAATTAGTTGTTACATAAATGACTTGATCTTGATAAGAATCTTGATTCTTATAGAAAAGACCTGTGATCATTTGAAATAATGTCACCTTATGTCTAGAAACCATAAACTATGCCTAGAAACTGCATCTAGTGACGAATACGTACACATGGTATCGTACCGATAATAAGATAGAATATTATAGCTTATTCAAATGATTTTATCTGACTGGATTAGATGCCTGGTCTTAAGTTAGAATGATCTGAAGGAAATATAAACAATGAGTGAAAGAGGAAGCTTGGGTAAAATTTCAGAACGGGTAATTTGAAGATAACTTTGGCATTCATAAGTGAGCTACTGAACGCAGAGTAAAAACAAAGAAATCAGAATTTCACAGACTGCTCTTGACTTTTCAGCCGATTTTAAAGTTTTTCTATTCTTTCTGTCTTCTACTACGAAGTGGTTTTAATCTATCTATATTTGTATGAAGAAACGGCAAATCAAGGAAAATTTTATGGAAATGACTTAAGATTCCGTATAGATAATGCTCGCAATTCGAAAAATGCACATTATTAGTCAGTATTTAACTGAGGGTTTTGAATTGGAGACAGATTGTGTTTCTGGCATCGCATGTGCGCTACATAGTTAGTTTTCTGCCAGCTCTAAAATTTGTAATTATTCGACTTTGCATTTTCTCACTGCTGACACTTAATTCGGACGCTCTGATAGAATTAGTGAGCCACCTTACAGTAAGTAGTATTTAATAGTGTAGTCTTTAATTACTGGTCAACGTTTCATTAAACTGGACTCGTCTACTTATTTGCATCACTATGAGTAGTGGTCATTGAGGAAAAAGATCATGCACTTATGTTCTGAATTCTGTTTAAATAAACGGATCCTTTTAACCTTCTTAAGAATTTGTCATTGTTCTCGGACATAGTTATAATTTTTTTCACGTTTTTTGGGTTATAAGACTAAAACAGCATTACCAGATGAAGTGTAACGATTTAAGGGGCTTATAATTATTTAAAAGAAAGAGATTAAGGAAGATAAATCGATTAGTTGAGATTCAATATATTATTTGGAAATTTATTCCTCTGACAGCAGCCTGGTAAGGAGGGTGGTCGGAGAAACTTGTTATAATTGCTAAAGAGCTCCTTAAAATATCTTTACGAAGAGTTAATCACAATGATATATGATTGTGAAAGAGTCATAAATTCCCGATTCTTAGCGTATTTATAAAAATACATAAAAGATCTGATTCCATTAACAATTGCCATGTTCTTGCTTGACAGACCGAAATCAAACGTCAACGACGTCGGTGCTAACAATTTACGGACAAGAATAACGCATCGTGCTAAGTAAATAGAAGATTCGAGTTATGTTTTAGAAAGAAATATTTAGAGCAACTTATCGACAATATTCCCAGACATCGACAATATTTTCAAATATGTCATATTAAAGTCGTCAACGTCTCTTAGTGCGAGATGATTTTAGAAAGCACTTAAATGGTCTTTGGCCAGACGTACTGAATAATTTCTAGGTAAAGACAGTAAAGTAAGAACTGTGAAACTAAAAACACAACATAATGCGCTAATTTGTCCTATTTAAAGAACTTTCCCTCTACAGATTAGCAGTTAAGGTTTGCCAGTGGAACCTGTTCTTAGAGAAGTCAGCATAGTCAGCGGTCCCATACGATGAAAACTCCAGAAAGTCTCGAAAGACGCTCTGTTAATGCTCTAAGGAAATCGCAGAGAGCTGTCCAGCAATTCAAAAGGGGAGGAGAGGATATGCTGCGACTCGCATCATTCCACTCGCCAGTCAGCGCGTGTCGAGGACGACTGATGAACTAATATGTTTGAATTCTTATGTAGCTAGAAAAATGTTCGTATATTCAGTGTAGATTTTCATTTTAGAAGTTCATTGTTTATTCTATTACTTTTCAGAACTAGTCTCCATTGGGAGACGCGCAGCATAAAATTTTATGGAAATGACTTAAGATTATGCTCGTAATTCATAAATGTGAGAATATTACAAACATACACCAATAAGTGGACGTTTTCTAATTCAGGGAAGGATAGTAAAAATCATGTTGTTTTTTGATGGAAAAAATGCTTTATGTTGTCTTTACTTCAACAACAACAAAATCGAAGACTGTCATACTAGAAGCATCTCAGAAAATATGAAATGTTTACTAAAAGTGAAATCTGAATCTGAAACTCTTTTACAATGTAAATTTACAATATAAATGGACTTATATCCTTTACAGATAATAATGTTGTCCCTTGATATATTAAATTTAATAATGTATAATTTTAAGGTGTTCAAATAACGCATGAACAAAACAAATCATAAATAAATTCGGAGTGCAGGAAATTGCTTTCTTATAATTTAATTATTTACATACATTACTTATTAATTTCTTAATATTTCTTTTCTTTTACTTAAAAATATTTTGTTTTTGTTTATTGTCCAAACTGAACCACCATGAAGTTAAAGTAACGGAAAACTATTACACAGTAATAAATCATATTATTAAATGCTTGTTATTATCTTGAAATTAACTGATTTAAAAAATAATAGTTGAATGTAAGTTTTTTTTTCTATTCACATAATAAGCATACAGTCAAAAATATTTTTTCCCTTCATAACTAAGTAGTATCATAACCATTAGCTGCGCAGATGCTTTTACTAAAACAAAAACAAAGCTTCTTATATATAGTTGTTCTTCAGCTATACTGCCATTGCTTTGCTATTTAAGAAGACTTTACTGTTTTTATGATTCTGCACTTCTGTCTCATGTATCATAAAACATGGGAATCAGACTGCAACTACGGTAATTCTTAAAACGTTTGTTCATGCATAAGTTTATATTTGGTAGTCTGAAAAGTAATGACGCATTTTTTATATGTTCTTCAATCTGTTATTTATATAATGAACAATGATCAGTCAAACTGTATATTATACGTTTTGTTTGATAACTTTTGCTTTCTTTAATGATCTTTGTAATTACTCCGAAAAGCTAAACAAGGTTCTGATTTTCAGACTTATTTGAATTGAATGTGATACCACGAAAGAAATTTTGAAGACAGTGAGATAAGTGAAAGTATGAGAGCCCACGATCAGGTGAATGATACGCGTGGCAACATGTTTCATCCAGACTCCAATAATTTTTGTCAGTGATCAAACCTGTGTGTGGTCTTGTTTCCAAGTTCCTACCAACAAGCCAACAAATCAGTTCGAATGTGTACTGTCTCTAACTGGACAATTTCATTGAATCCAAATTCTAGAAATTTCCAGAGCTCATTAATCGTACAGGAACTGTATTCTTTCCGGATAACGCAAGAACGCACACAAATTTGATCACCTAAAAAGTATATTAGAGTTTGGATGAAATGTTTTTTTCACGTGTATAATACTCGCCTGATCTTGTGCCCTCAGACTTTCACTTGTTTTGCTCTTTTCAGAATTAAATTCAGATGAGGAACTAGGAAGCTCATTAAAATTAAGTAAACAGTTATCAAACAGAGAGGGCTCTATGCTAAAGACTGATCATTGTTCTAAATAAATAAAGGACCTTTGAAGAATGCAGAAAAAATGCATCTTGAATTTTCAGACAACAGAATATTAAATATATTATAAGTGAATTTGATTAAGTGTGAAGCTGTGCTTTTTTCCGACAGTCATTGTATCAGTTTTGTATTTCATGGTTAGTTTTACTTATAACCTCTATCATCTATAAGTGATTACGACTTTGACGGTAGGTATTTGAAAATACCTTTTCTCTTTCCTTCTGCTACTTCATCGATGGCAGACTTACTTTTCGTAAACTTTTCTTTATGCTGCTCTGCATTGGCGGTAAGTTGTGCCAGCCATGACGGATACTTGAGTCGATTTCTGCGCCTTTTTAAATCTATCTTTACCCTCAATTCAGGAAACACTTCAAAATATTTTTCCACTTCTTCAAGCTTCTCCTGCAGTTTTTGATTCTTGTAAGTACTCATCCGAATTTCTTTCCAAAATTGATCATCAGGAGAAGGTAAGTTCTCCATGTTGCTACAAGCAGAGAAGTTTAAACTCTTTCTAGCATCCCCATTGAATTTGATATCTGTATTTTCGAAGTTAATGGTTAATAAAGTATGAAATGTTTCATTGAGTTTTAACAATAATTTAGATGCATCATCAAGGAGTTTTGAGCAGTTTTTACGTTTCGAAGTGAGGTTTTGTTTCAGATTTTCGCAATCGCTCCTGACTTTTGATTGTTCCACAGCTTGTTGCTGTAAGTATCTAAGGATTATTCCTAGTTTTAAACAACGATTTTTCTTTCCACTTATATCTTTCCATACTCCTTTATCGATGTATTTCGGACAAGTTGTATCTGTGGCATTATTTAGTTCCGCCGTTAAATCCTGCGATGTCAGATTTGATAGAGGTGCCCAGTACGGATTTTTGGAATCATCCTGGAGTTTGAACAAAGGTTGGCACTTATACGCATCATAAAACTCTTTACTCAGAGCAAATTTATGAGATTTTGATTCGAATTTAAAATCAGTATTTCTTTCCAATTTTAGTAACCCTGTATAAACTTCTCTGAGATTTTTTTCTGTGTTAAATATTAATGACATGATAAGATCACATTGCTCCTGAAAGTTCTCTAGTATTTGCAGTTCTTCCTGTGTTTCCTTTTTCCATTTCAAGCATTCCTTTTCAATAAAAGTATAGAGCAAAGCACAAAATATTTTCATCTCATATCTGTGAATAATGTAATCACAGAATACCTTTTTGAAAAACAAGCGTTCCACTTCGGAATCAAAATTAGTCTGAATCTCTCTAAGATCCTCAATCAAACTTTGAATGGAATTTTTGGCTTCTGCAACTATGTCTTTTCCTGAAGTCTGATATAAGCCATCTCTTGAAGGCAAACTCGTGTCACTGACTGAGGAAGCTAAGTCTTGCTGTAGAGAATACAGATTCTGTTGCATGAGGTAGGCAGTCCAAAAATCTCTTTCAGCTTTTGACGGTAAATTTTCCGCCATGATTTTGATATTAAAACGCATGCCAGAAATGCTATTATCAATATTATCTTTTTCTGCGTACAAAGTGTCAAATTCTTTATTGAATTCTTTTTTCAGAGTAAATATCTCTTCCATTATGTTACGCAAAATCATAAGTACATTTTCATAGGATTTAAACTGCATACCTTTTTTGAAAAAATTATAATCTGTTGAAGTTAAATTCTGCTTAGCTTCATGTTTCTTTTTACTGGATTTAACATCCGAATCTAATAACTGTTCCTGTCTATGCATGAGGGTGTCAGTTTCAGGGTAACGCATAATAACAAAACCCATATTAATTGATGTGATAATTTTGCCTTCTTCTAATTGGTCACTGACCTGATCTTCATTCTTAGTTAGCTGTGTTTCTCGATTTTCCTTCCCTGTTTCCATGGTTATTTTTTGAAGTTTAGAAGTATTTTGCTCAGATAGATTCCGTAATTTTTCCTTATTAATAATAAAATCATCTTTGAAATACTTTTTTCCTTCGTTAATCGAATAATGCGTGAATGTGTTTAATTTGAAGCAAATTATATCCATATTCATTTCAAACTCTCGTTGAAGCTCAGCCAGGGAACAGAAAGTTGTTTCTGTATTTGAAGTATTTTGTTCAATTAAGCTTGCTTTTACTTCTTCTACCATTTCATGCAAAATAGAGTTTTCTTTCTTGAAATGTGAATGAATATAATGCATCCATTCAGGTATTATATTCTCCTCTGGAAACTTACTGACCCATTCATAGAACAGAAACGTTCCGTTCTCTTTGCCCATTAATAAACCGCTACCAAAATTCGAAAAACTTAGAAATGAACGTACAATACCCTCAGAATTACTGGATTCGTATATCACAGCTGATAGCGTCAGAAACTTAGTGCTGTAGAGTCGCAGACAACCGAATATATCAGTCACTGCTAACCACCGTTGATTCAAAGAAATCTGAAGATGGGACACATTTTTTACCTGCAATAAGTCAGCCTGTCTGAATGACGTTTCAGACCACACAGGATATTTACGAATTCGTCCTATGACTGGTGAGTACAAAACTGCACCAAAATTCAAATGAAAATCCACTTTAGAACAAGGGTAATTTAGTTCCCACTTTTGAAAGCACAATAGATCTCCACAAAGATTTCCAAATACATCGATTCGATACTTATTAGGATCGGTGTTGAAGTCACTGGGAAGTTTAAGCCTTATTAAGATATTTCCAGCTTCCTTTTCAGAACTCAAGCCTCCTTCACATAAAATCAGCAGTAGTTTGTCTTCTTCAGATGCTCTGCCGAATAAAGCAATGTCCTTAACTTGCCTCGACACCTTTTTCATTCCCAGAAACCGAAAATCCGATGACGGGAGGGCATTCCACAGTTTAACACTTTGGCTTTGAGCTGAAGTCACTATGAGTTGTCCAAAATTATCAAACTTTATGCGTTCGATGGGTATTTCATAAGGTTTAGTGCAGTGCACGATTTTGGGATGAGAGAGATCTGTTACCTCAATAAAATATAAAAATCCTGTGACGGATCCAACTGCGATATAGCAACAAAGGGGACTCGCTGATACAGAAGAAATTTCTTCATCGAGTTGAATACTGCTTAAATGACTTCCATCAGTACTCTTAAGTAGGTGCAACAGGCCATTCTTTTTGGCTATTACACACAAACGAGACAATGGTGCAATCATACAAGCGGCGAGGTCCCCTAGGATGTCACCACTAAGTACAGTTGTTAAGGATTTGGAGCCGTCTTTGTGCAACAAGACACATGTTTTCGATGTGGTAATGATCAATGTCTCATAATCAAACGAAAACTGCAGATGCATTATTGATTGTCCAACAGCTATACTTTCTTTTAAATTTGCAAGATCATTGGTCATACTGAAAACGTCAATACAACCTGTCTTGTAACCAACAAAAAGCCCTGTCGTATTTAGGACCATGCTGGTAACAGTAGATTTTCCTTCTGGAAATTTATAAATGAAAACAACAGCACTATTTATATAATTTACTTTGAACAAACTGGTAGCAGTCGCTACAAATAAATTACTTCCAGGAAGCCAGCAGTAGCAAGCAATGCGCAAAGGTTTGAAGTCATCACGCACATCTATATTGCTTCCTACTGAATTATCTTTACTGTTTAAATAAAAAGATTTGTTTTGATTTTCGTAAAGTTCCACACTCCTATCATATAAATGATATTTTTCATCGGAATATTTTATATGAAGAAAAATAAGTCTAATATTGCTCTGGATGCATAAACTGTACCATAGCATGGGATCTACAGAAAGGTTATTTAGTGGCACTTCTGAATATGCTAATGGCGTAGAAAGAGACTGCAATCTTTCCCCAGAAGACCATCTCCATAAATCTATCTCATGGCATATTCTGAACTTCAAAGAAACTAAAAACTCTATTCCTGTAAAGCTCAAAGCTTGATACTCCTCACTGGAACCGTGATTGAGAACTGACATGACCTTCATACTTGGATAATTTAAAACGTAAATTAGAGCTTTTTCTTTTTTCTCACTAATAGCCAAAACGCCCAGTTCTGGAAGAGATGCGGCACATCCAATTCGAATTCCAGGATCACAAATTTTACGATAAACTCTTCCAGAAAGATCACATCTTTTAAAAAAGACACCGCAAGGGACTAAAATATCTTCGTTTGATACAAACATTGGAAGCCCTGTGCAGACGCCGTATGCCCATTTCAGTTTGAAATCTTCCATTAGCTCTCCTAAAGGAAAGAAACCCAAAAGGGAAAATACAATCATCATGCGTATTATTTTAAAATACATTTAAGAATTTTAATATAATTATATCAACACTTTATACTACACAGCAGTCAAAATGACCATAATTCCCTCAGAAACAAATCGAGGGAGAAAACATCTTAAAGAGCATAGTATTGAAAGAATTGTTTTATTACATAAAAATAGTGAACATAAAATAATTTCTCACATAACTAATATAAAAACATTTATGTTCATATAAAAGAGAAAACATATCTTTATACTCACATCAATTGCATTTTTCAGAGGAAATTTTACACAATGAATTTTGTTCTTTCAATATCTTCCATGAAATTTATCGTTTTCTAAGTTATGGTTTTATTTTATAGCCAGAATGCGAGTATTGACTTCATACATAACCTGGATTTTTCCTTAACCATTTTATTGCAATGTTATAAGATATGTTCTTTCTCCTTTCCGCATGTCTTCGAGGTGTAATTGAAAGCATACTCGACGCTTATTCGAGTGGTCCAAAGTTCGAGCCCTGGAGAGGGCACTGGAGATTTTTCACGTCATTTGTTTCAAAAAAGCCTAATGATTGTACAAATGGAGCCCGAACTAAAAGGTGGTGGATGATAATTTGTCATGACTAGAATTTGGCGATTTGGTTCTCTAATCTGCAATCGTCCTTTAAAAGGGGGAAAACATAAGGCATTTTCTTCTTTCTTTCCGCATTCGTGGTAAATGGCTTAATTCGTGGTGTAAATGGAAGCATACTCGACGCGTATTCAAGAGCTCAGGTTTCGAGTTCCGGGGAGGGCATTGCACATTTTTCACGTCTCCTGCTTCAAAATTCCCTAATGATTCCACAATGTGATTAACAAATTTGATGAATATAGTAAATTTTGTAAGCTTCATTTTTAAATAGGCACTTTTGCTTCTTTGACATTTTCAATCCATAAATACAAAAGAAGGGAATATGTTAAAACGGAAACTTAAAAAGAATACGGATGGCAATCTACAATCAGCAAGCACATGCCATAAACAATAGCTACAGAAGAGCCACGATATCTCAGATGCTCAAATATGTAGCACGTATTTTCCCTCTTTGTTTCGATAATAATCAGCCTATGGTCATTGCCTAACATTTAACAGGATATTAATATGAAAAATTTCAAAATATGTTTACTGACACAACGTCACGGTCAGGACACGCGGATAAAGCAGTGCAATGACGTTCAAAATTCGAACGTATGTTCACCTACAATTAGCACTCGATTTTGCATGCTTCATAGTGTCGTACAAATAAAAGTTTAAGAATATACTAAAGTATTTATAAAAAATAGCAGAATTTCCCTTTTTTTAAAACTAAAACAGGCTCACGAGCAAGACACGAGGATAAAGCAGTGCAATCACGTTTAAAATTGAGACGTCTGTTCATCTACAATTAGCACTCGATTTTGTATGCTTTATGTTCTCATACAAATAAAGATTTTCTTTCTGAGAAGGTTACATAACGTAACTAATTACCAGTGAATAGGTACTATTCTGAAAACCTTCATAAACTAACTTAAAAAAATTTTAAAAAAACTCTTCTCGTTAATAAAAATATAGTGATTTTTAGAAATGTTAAGTAACAGAACATATCAAATCTTAAAAATTCTCTAGCAAAACAATGAAAACCTAATAATTACCTTGTCCGAACTTAGTAACTGCATTTTATTTTCGAGCATAAACACGACATTAGTAAAAATACATACCTGCGCTTACCGCAGATGTATTTGAGAGCATATAGCTTTACATATTTTGTTTAGACTTCATTCATTCTTGATTTCTTCATTTTATTTTTATTCATTTTGCTGAACATTATTCACCAGTTTAAAAATATAATATTGGCCATAAAGATTATTGATTTTCTTCCCGGTAAGATTTTTTGTTTCTTATAAAAAGCTTTTCTTTGTTATAAGATTTTATTTAATTCGCTCATAGTTTATCATAATGGTCGGGATATTGTCGTCTACCCATTTTCTAATAAGTTATCGAGTTGAAATTTTGAACACACATTGTTTATCGATGACAATGCAATGCAGTGAAGCGATTTTTTTTTCAAAATTCGATTAAGATTTTTTTTATTATTATTTATGAATGATGAGTAGTAAAGAAAAAAAGTTTTGCGCACATTTACGGAGCCACCAGTAAGTTAGAAATTTTGTGAGAGAAGGTGTGGATTATCAGAAATTTTCATGTGCTTCTGGATAGTCAGGATGCTCCGAAAATGTTGAGTTAGCTAAATTGGTACTATTCGGTTTCGAGGGCCGTAAAAAAATCGCCAATTGTTGATGCCAATGCTGCCAAAAATAATTGCCAAATAATAATTGTACTAATAGACACTCACTCATAAATTAAGGATAATGCAAAATCAGGCAAAGGAACAGTTAGAAGCAAAACAAATTTGATTTATTTGTAAAGCTTATTTATTAAACAAAAGGTAAAGAGAGAAAAAAAAAAAAGATGCTATATGTTTGATATTATTAAAAAAATTAGCGATTTTTTCTCCCTGAAGCAAATTACAAAAAACAACTATTTACAAAAAACCAATATTGCATAGTTGGTATGATTGTTAATACATTGTATGTCTCCCAGACGATGCAATACAGTCCGTACAACGCCCAGACATGCTGAGTATCAAATTATCGATCTCATCTTAAGGGATATTACACCACTCCAAAAGCAATGCTCTCCGAAGTTCCGGTAGACATGTAGGAGGAGGTTGACGGGCTGCAACTCGTCGGCCAAGCATGTCCCACACATGATCTACTGGGTTCAAGTCCGGTGAGAATGCTGGCCAGTCCATACGGGTGATATCTTCCGATTGAAGGCATTCGCTTACGATGTTTGCACGGTGAGGACGGGCGTTGTCATCTATAAACACAAATTGTGCGCCCATGGCGCCCCGAAACAAAGGTACATGTTGTTCCAGAATGACGTCCCGATAGATTTGGCTTGTCATGGTTCCAATTTGAACATGCAGGCCAGTTCTGGAACCCAGAATAATTCCACCCCAAACGAGCACTCCTGCACCACCGTAACGGTGTCGTTCAATGATGTTTTCTTGGTGGTAACGGGTACCTGGAGCTCTCCATATGAAAGTCCGGCGAGAATCAGATTACAAGCTAAACCTGGACTCGTCAGAAAACATCACACAAGCCCACTGTTGCGGTGTCCGTAATGCATGCTCTCTACTCCAGGCTAATCGCAGGCGACAGTGAGTTGTAGTAAGTGGAACGCATCTGACAGGTCTACGAGCATATAGACCAATCTGCCCTAAGCGTCTGTACACGGTCTGCCTTGAACTTGTCGTACCAGTGGCTGATGAGACAGGTCTGAGGCTGTGCTCCGCCTGTTTCTTTTGGCAGTAACTGCCAAATACCGGTCCTCATTCGGCGTTGTAACTCTGGGGCGACCTGTGCTGTAAGGTCTACTCACATTACCATCATCTTGGAATCGTTGCCAAAGCCTGGAGATGACACTCTGGGCAATTCCAAGTTCGTGTGATACTTCCAGATGGGTACGCCCACATGCCAGACGGCCGATAATTCTACCACGTAAAAAATCATCCAAATGCGTCCTTTGTGTCATAAGTATTCGGTTATTGCACTGAAATGCTTATAAAGCGCCTGAGAACAATTTTACTTCTTTGCCTGTATTATATATATCACTCTCTTACACTCTCGTCATTGTCACGTACCATCGATGTAATCTGGTTGCTTCCTGAAATTCGCATATGATTCTTGAAGATGTGTGTAGTGATTTTACAGGTGATATATTTATTTTAAAGTTCGATTTCCGCGGGACTCCGAATTATCCTTAATTTATGGACATGAGTGTATTTAAGATTGATGTTTTAATTTAGATGAAAGGTTAATTTCATATAATACTTTTTTATTATTATGATTTATATGAAAAAGGCTAAAGATGACTGAATGGAAGCATAAGAGTAAATAACTATTTCAGATCATTATTTAATTTATATAAAAATTGCTAAACATAGCTGAATTTATGCCTGCATCGCTTTTTCGCTACTGACTTATCGCTAAAACATAATTTCATCTCGTTGGTTGTTCAAACGTAATTTTCTATAATGAATGATGCCTTTTCTTTGAAAATATTCTCGGTAAAGTGCAGAATCGCTCACTTATTTGTTTGCCGCTTTTTACAAGGGTAAAAACAATTGGATTTTTGTCAATTTTCTTTTACTTTTTAAGTGAAAATAGGTCGATGTGTAGATAGATAAAGTCAAGGGTTTGCGCAGTGTCATTTTTGTGCAATTCTAGGATTTTTTTTAAAGTGAAAATTGGTCGATGTGCACATGGATACCGAGTATGTGCAATTCTTAAAACCGCGTCAAGCAGTGGGTGATTCTGCACTTTATCCAATATTTTATTGCCGAATTTTCTTCATTTCGTTTTTTATTTCGACTTTTCTTCATTTCGTTTTTTATTTCGACTTTTCTTCATTTCGTTTTTTATTTCGACTTTTCGTCATTTCGTCCCAAATTGTTAAATTCATAGGATATCAAAAAAGGATTTAAGAATTAAACTAGTATTTCAATGGCGTCTTAATATAGAACTATATGAACTTACGCAATCTGAAATCATCGCGTACACTAGATTTGGCGAGCTTTTAAATGGGTGCGTTTGTTAGATTTGGCGCTTTTGCGCGTACATTTTTGCTGCAATTTTTTTACGTCCCTCGAAACCGAATAGTACCTCTAAATTTTGTAAAATATTACTCAGAATTCACATATTCTTGAACTCTACATTTAAAAATTATTTATTGCGAAATAAGAATTTTATACTTCAAATGTATATGAATGACTTAGGCCCCCAGACAATTCGTATTCGTGAGCAAAATTTAGTGTGCTGTGAGTGTGACATAATAAGTTGCGATGTTAACAACTAATTTTAAAAGGAAATGGATTTCCTATTTGTAGTAACCGAAATCCACAACCTTTGCTAAACGTTGATGCCATTCAGATTATTTAAGAACCTTTTTTGAAGCTTTCCAGTTATGGTCAAAGTTGTGAGATTTTGCTTTTTGATTAATAACTCGAGCAGTTGGAATGGATAAGCAATGATTTGAATTACATGCATTAACAGTTTTAGTCAAATTCTTTAATTGACATATTTTGGATGAGGAAATATATAAATTTTAAGTATTTAATGTTTACATGACATGGTATGCATATATGAATATAAAGTTCAGTAAAACGTAAGGTACTTACGTATTATCCCGATAGCAAGCCAAATAACTCGATTCAGCGCCAATTATGAGCTACTGTGTCCTTTAGAATTCCGCAGTAACGATTGGTAACCATTGCTGAAATTTCCTCCACAGATCGACACAATAATACGTAAGTACCAAACTTAATTTAATTAAACGCCACACCTTTTTGTCGTTAATTGTGTGTTTTGTTGATTATGTAAGATAGCTGGTTCAGTCCTAGTATACACACAGGATTTAGCACAGACGGGATTTACGTACGGGATTTTTTACACACGGGATTTGGCAACTTTCGGTGACATTCTGATCAGCAGTAAACGCGGTATTTATGATGAGCAGTGAACGTGTCATTTTGATGTTGGATACAGTTTTCAAAATCGCTCCAAGGCCGTACCGTATACTAGGATTTTACCAAGTAATTAAAAATTCATAAAATATTATAAAAAATACACACGCAGTTTACAAATAATGTAACAAATATGTGAACCAAACTTACCGATATCTTAGAAAATTATATTTAGATTGTAGCTTGAAAGCTCTTCAGAAAGAGGAAATAAAACTGCTTTTTGTTTTCAGTTTTATGTGCAATTGCAATATTTCTGAGTTCTGATTCTTTTGCCGAAATTTCGCTCAGTTTTATGCTATCTATCGATTATGAACTCTTACTTGTTGCCACAGTCCTAAATTTTCACTCATATGGTTTACATTTTTATTAATCATTGGACACTCATGAAACTTTTGTTTCTTATTAATATAAAGTTATAATTTTAAAATATGCCAATTATTTAAATAATAGCTTACAAACATTACAAAAAGAATTGAATAAAATAATTTTTAATATAGTTGATCACTTCAGAAATCAAATTTTTATCTCACTCGTGCTATAAATTCTCAGTTGAGAAATGGCAACAACATAAATATTTCAGGTTCCGTTTTTGCCCTCGAGCTTTTAGTTTTTATCACTTTTTTTGTTCTTTGAGATCACAAAATTTACTTTATTATTCATGCCAGTAAAAGCATTTTTTAATGTGCATTATATATCCTTACGCGTAAAGAAACTCATTTGAAACTACATAACTCACACATTAAAGTGAAAAATGAGCTATCTGTAAATAAGTATTTGGTAGAAAGAAAAAACAAAATAAAAAAAAAAATTAACGAAAATCAATTGTGCACCAGCCTGCAAAATAGCATTATAAATATAAGTCTCCTAGATATAAAAATACAGCTTTTATTATATATTAATTAATAATCCTAAAATACAAATACTACGTGCGTTATAATGTACTGAGAATCCATTTCATATCTTGAAGCAATTTTGAAGAAAGTTAAAACTGAGAAATTCGAAGAGAGTTGCAGTTTTATTCATAGAGATTTAATTAAGGAAAGTTAACAATATTAGTTTTAGAATAAAACAATTTTATAAACATTTTATTTTTATATTCCGCTTAATACAAAACACTAACAAATCTTCCCAAAGCAGCAGAATGTAATTTTTGGTGTACAGTTTGAAATTTTATTTTTTAAGGTTGTTCCGTAAATGGAAGTCAAATAATATTCACTCTAACTTATATCTAAATAGTTGTGCTCTCTGTATAAGTGCAATGAAAGAATATGCATATTTTGTAGCCAAACTTAATATAATATGTATGTGTGTGTGTGTGCAAAATCTGAAGGCTTTCAGATTTTATATTACGCCCAAAGGGGCGTTTTTTTCATTTACACACATTCACGTTTCGTGGCTTCCAGGTGCTCATACTCGGATGGAGGACTACATTATTCAAAATATGATGGCTCTAGGTACCATTGTTCACAATGAGAGAAATATACATACATTTATGCAGATTCTTCATTATTTAATTTCTTTAAATATAGTACAGGGCGATAATGTTTGGTGGCAACAATTTGAAAAGTGATACAACGCTTTTAATGATTCAAAGAAAATGCTGTTTCAGGATTAATAGCCCCTCTAGGCTAACGTCCTTTTGGGTTAATAATCTTGGGACGCCTTTTCTTTTTTAAGGTAGATACACGTTGAAAAGTCAAGTTTTGATCAATAATACCAATTTATTAATTCATTATACAGATTTTTTATTTAACTTTTCAAAACACATTTGCTTTTGTTTCTGCATTAATTTAAAACCGAGAGATTAAGGATTTTATAGACTCGGAAACCGGAAGTGAGTTTTTACATCATCGGAAGTCCCATTTAATGTGCAGAAAAGTTTCAAAAATAAATATAAAACGCGTTTTTCTTGAAACATAATTAAAAAAGTCCAACTTAATTTGTTGATAAATGATGAGTTTATAGAGTCCAAATGAGCATCCTCAGTAATAATTCTTTGTTAGTGCTGCCATCTCTTGGTGAACGCCATATTCATATCATTAGTTGAAAATTTTTATTGAAGACGTTTTACTACTATATTAACACTAAAAGAAAGAAAAAAAAAAAAAAAAAAAACATTTTAAATTATAAATTTTAAGAAAAGAATTTAACATATTTTAATTATAGTTTTACAAAATTCATTTTGGCATTGGTTCATCCATTAAAAATACAAAAGTATTTTGTTTAATGGCAGGTCTTTCGATGCTAGTAGTTATTTTTATTCTATTAACCCCCCCCAAAATAAATAAATAAATAAATAAAAAACTGAAGAATTTCAATGATTCGTTTAGAAGATGCGGAAATTGGAGCTTTGAATTCAAAATAACCAACATAAGTTGCACAACAATGAAATGCATTTTAGACTTTTAAATATTTCTGATACAATACATAAATACTATTTTTTTCGCTTAGCTAATGAATGTAAATATATAGCATTTTCTGTGTTCTAAGACAAACACAGAAACTAAAATATTACTGATACTAATCACTCGAACAATACTACTCTGCGCTGCTGCTATTTGAGTAAACAATTCTACATTAAGATACAGTCTTCAGATAATGCCCATTATAGATCCCCTTAGTAAACGAGGATTTCATGATCTATCGGAACTTCAAAGAGGATCTACATGATTTGAAATTCTGAAGTTCTATCATTTCAGGAAAATTCTAAGTTCTAAAAGCAGTGAAATTCTATCTGTGCTGAATTATGACCCCCTGTGTAAATACTCGTTTCAGAGATCAAGAAACATCTTTATGAAATATTTAGTGTATTTTCCTGTATATGGACGAACCTTGTTTCATCATATTACTTGCAACGAAGACCCTAAACGATGTTTGTGCTTGTTCCTTGTTAGCAGGCCAGTATAAAATGTCGTATAAGACGCAAGACAGAACTACTGTCCAGGAAGTGTATGGAAGAAAGCGTCTAGTCGCTGTTGTAAAAAATGAGGTAGTGACTGGGTGTTACGTTTTCGCGCTTGATCTTGGTGATGACGAGAGGTGTTTGCACATTTGTTTCCATACAAAATACCTAAGAAATTATTTGTACAAGCATTATTATGGTCAAACTAGAACGAATATAAAAGTTTATTAACTTGATGAATTGGAGACATATTATAAAAAGTTACATTTCTTAATTTTTGCAAAGCTGACTTCTTAAAAACATTTTGGAGACAGGGAACATAAATCTACGGCTAAAGGTTGAGATAATAAAGGCTGCTTAATGACTTTTATGGACACGCTGTGTGATTTACTAAACAGATCATACACAAACTTTGTAACAATCATTTTCTTAAATCAATCATGATACAAATAACACTACGTGGAATACGATACAGCTAATTGGAGTATACAAAAAGACATACTGATATATATAAACTGAAAACATAATTATACAATAATGTATATATCATGAGAAGTTAGAAGCATCATAATGAATACATAGCCTTAAAGACAGTGATTGTGAACAGAAAGACTTCTGATACAGTTAGTCAAAATAAGTGCTGGAGTTTTAAAGAATTTACACGCAAATATACTCGACTTAGAAAAAAAATTTTTCTTTATTCTAAGAAATTTCGAAAGTTATTTTTTAGCTCTGCTTTTCTCGAAGATATTGCTTTCTTAAAAAATGAGGTACATTCCGCTGACCTCAAAGATCACGTGAATTTGTGTATAGCTAATGTAAACAGACAAAGCAGATGACCTCAGAGATCATGTGACTTATATATAACTAATGTAAATGAACAAGATCATTCTTCCTCTTCTTTTCTTGAGGAATATATCTCATCGTTTGAAGAGAGGAAGAAATCGTAATGATGGTAATAAATCAGGGATACAGAATGATATAGAACTTAAAATTTTACAAGGTCATGTCATTTTTACAAGGTCATGCCGTTTTTATACTATTATTTATAATAACGGCATGTGTCCGTTATTATAAATAATAGTATAAAAACGTCTTTATATTACACAGAGCTGGCTCAAATTGGAAGCTACATCATGTAAAATTAGGCAAAAAAATAACTTAAAAATACCTTTAGATTTTTGTAAGATTTTTTGTAGTAAGGTTGCTTTTTTGAGTGTATTTAAACAGTGCTGTCTATTTAGTTTTGGGTTTTAATGAGAAATTTCTAATACACCAGTGTTAACCTGTTGTGATAATTGAACAAGTAAAGTTACAATCATTCCGTAACTGAAATCTTAGCTATGAAGAAACGCTGAAAATTCCTCGAGAAAATGTGTTGATGACTTATCTGTAAATGTATTTTTGAGAAAATTCTACATTCCATTTCATATTTTTAATTTCACTCTCAGCATCAGATACGGTACTGTTTGAAAATTCTTGACTGCATAATAAACGTTTCAACTTGTTACATCATTTAGAAGCGTAATAAACAACATTTAGAAAAGCAAAATCATGAATGCAGTATTTAGCGGCGACGCTTGACATGATGCCAATTAGAAACCACCTTTTGTGGAAAAGAAGCTGTTCGTGGTAGATTCAAGTAACAGAGAGTAATTGGCTTGAATACAAATCGCGTGCATGATATCCCTGTGTTTAGGTAATGTTCAGCCTTGAAATGAATACTTATATGCCAAAAGATAAGCATAAGTTTCACATTACTAAAATAAAGTTTATTACTCGAATTTATTTAAAACTAACACACAAATATTTTGTCCATATGGGTATTTTTATTTAATTTGCCCTATGTCTTTTTTCAATAATGTCAAAACACTTGTTACAGGAATGACTTTCATTTAGCCTATATCACCGGTTGGTTCTCAAACTGTGGTACATGTACCACTGTTTGTGGTACGTTACAATAGTTTAGTGGTTCGAATTTTACAGAAAAAAATTTCCAAACTGTAAGCCAGTTTATGCTTAACCCTCTGGCTGCTTATCCCGCGATTTCCACGGGCGACTCAAATGTAGCAAAATCTGCTTATCCCGCGATTTCCGCGGGCATGTGTTTTTCTTCCTTTATTGAGGAACGCATCCCGTTTTTTCCCGTTTAACCACTGAAAAAAATTATATACGGTATTAGACGTTTAGTTTACGTTTTGGCAAACAGATATCGTTAGTTTTCCACTAAATTGCGGCATTTGAAGGCACGTGGTATTACCGCTAAAACTCCATTTTTTGCCTCTTTTTTCTTGCAGAAATGGCTGCTAGAAAACATTCAGCGATTATCTCGATTATTTAATTAAATTATTGAA